AATATGCTTTAAAAATTCCCGTTAATTTTAAAAGCATTCTTTAAAAATCCACGTTTATTGACCTTTGGGTCCTTTGAAAAAATATGCCTTAAAAATTCCCGTTAATTTTAAAAACATTCTTTAAAAATCCACGTTTATTGACCTTTGGGTCCTTTGAAAAAATATGCTTTAAAAATTCCCGTTAATTTTAAAAGCATTCCTTTGAAAAAATATGCCTTAAAAATTCCCGTTAATTTTAAAAACATTCTTTAAAAATCCACGTTTATTGACCTTTGGGTCCTTTGAAAAAATATGCTTTAAAAATTCCCGTTAATTTTAAAAACATTCTTTAAAAATCCACGTTTGTTGACCTTTGGGTCCTTTGAAAAAATATGCTTTAAAAATTCCCGTTAATTTTAAAAACATTCTTTAAAAATCCACGTTTGTTGACCTTTGGGTCCTTTGAAAAAATTTCTTTAAAAATCCACGTTTATTGGCCTTTAGGGGTTTTGAAAAAATTTCTTTAAAAATCCACGTTTATTGGTCTTTAGGGGTTTTGAAAAAATTTCTTTAAAAATCCACGTTTATTGGCCTTTAGGGGTTTTGAAAAAATTTCTTTAAAAATCCACGTTTATTGGCCTTTAGGGGTTTTGAAAAAATTTCTTTAAAAATCCACGTTTATTGGTCTTTAGGGGTTTTGAAAAAATTTCTTTAAAAATCCACGTTTATTGGCCTTTAGGGGTTTTGAAAAAATTTCTTTAAAAATCCACGTTTATTGGCCTTTAGGGGTTTTGAAAAAATTTCTTTAAAAATCCACGTTTATTGGCCTTTAGGGGTTTTGAAAAATTTCTTTAAAAATCCACGTTTATTGGCCTTTAGGGGCTTTGAAAAAATTTCTTTAAAAATCCACGTTTATTGGCCTTTAGGGGTTTTGAAAAATTTCTTTAAAAATCCACGTTTATTGGCCTTTAGGGGCTTTGAAAAAAAAATTCTTTAAAAATCCACGTTTATTGGCCATCAGGGACTTTGAAAAATATTCCTTTAAACATCCACATTTATTGACCTTTGGGTCCTTTAAAAAATATTCTTTAAAAATCCACGTTTACTGGCCTGACGATCTTTAGAAAATATGTTTGAAAAATATTCCTAAGAAATCAAAGTTTATTATCCTGATGATCCTATAAAAAATATTTTTTAAAGATTCACCCTTGTTGTCTCCGCATTTCAAAAATATTCTCAATAATTCCAATTCCATTGAAATAAAATTTAAAAATAGTAGCATTCAATTGAATTGAAAAAAAAATGATAGGTAATTGAGTTTCCAAAGAAACAATGCCTAACACACCGATGATGATGACGACGATGGGAAGATATTGACTCAAATATTTATATCACAAATACTTGTCTCCTCAATATTTAAATAAATTGCCAATAAAACAAATGTGTTCGACAATTGTTTTTGGGCTGTTGTTGAAAATATAAATTGAGATTATTTATAAGCACATCACGTCAGATAGCTTGTCATCTCGATTCGATATCGTCTAGGCAAAATTGCATTTGTTTTGAATGTGCACTCAATGGAAACAAAGTGAATAATTTACTAGATGACATTTATCCGGTAATGACAAATTGTTTTTGTCGAAACCAAGAAATAACAATAAATGCATACTCAAATTTCATTTCTGAAAAAAAGTGGGCGTAAATGATGAGTATTGAAATCATTATGAAAGGGCAATAACCGGCCTGGGGGGAGGAATGAACAGAAATGAGTAATGAATAATGTGTCGAAGAACATTTCGGAAAAAAGTTAGGGTTTAAAATTGTAACCTGGGATCCCTTTATATTCATACCTGACTAATAGTGACACTGTTGTACAGTGTAATTTTAGATATTTAATATGATTTCTAATTATTTTATGTTCATTATCTCTGCCATCTACACCTTATAAAAATTTCTAATCAATGAACCATTGATCCCCACAATATCGGAATTTCATTTGTTTGTCTTCAACACCTTTGGGGAATACCTTTCACTGGCCATGTATCAACATAATTACTTAATTATGACGTTGAATTGTCATGTCTATAAGCTCACTTGAGCCGAATAATTGATAGTACTTTAATTCAAAAATGTGACAAACCCCCCCAAAAAAAACACCACTCAACCAGAGACACGCGTCACATATACACACAGTGGCTGTCATTCACATGACACTGATAAATTTTTTTGTAATAAATTAAAACAGAACAAGTGATACGACTGCCAGACGGATCATCGAACAATTCTCCAACATTCAGATAACCATAAAATGTAGAAATAGAAACAGCAAAACAAAAAGCCATCAAAAAAGGGGCGTGAGAATTAACATCACGCCGAGAAGTAGCAAAAAAGCCAATGAACAGTAAATATTGGCACAATTTCAAGATAAAAGAAGAAAATAACAAAAAACATCTAAAATCAAATAAAATTAAATAAACAAATATAATTTTATTTGGTTGTTGTTGCTGTCTCTATTGGATTGACTCTCTCACTTTGACCACTGCGATAAGAGAGGAGCGCCACTTGTTTGTTTATTTATTTGTTTTTTTTTTTGTTTTTTTTTTTTTTTTTCAAATACATATATAATTATTTCGCACATAAACAATAACAAGTTAACAAGTATCGTAAAACAAACGAAAACGTGAATGAATCAATGTTTAATGACATTTTTATCTGTTCCTATTCCAGCGACACCACCACCCAGCACTTCCATCATTTTGCGGATACATTTAATGTTCAGATCACGTTTTCATTTAAAAACAGTAGATTCACACCGCGTAACATGATTGGATTAGATAGACAGCATATTTCAAATAAAAAAATTTAAACTATAAATCCCATAAAAATACAGTGTGACATAAAAAACTGCAAAAAAGTCAAACGCCATAATTTTTACTTTTGTTTTTAATTTTATTAAATGAAAGCAAAAAATGTCGGAAATTACATCAAATTTTAGATCAAATTTAGATTTGTTTGAATTGGTCACCCTTGGCACGAATTATGTCCAATGAAACCGTCACACGCTCTGTTGCTCTCCAGTATTTTTTCCCATTCCCGGCGAAGCGCTTGCTTGAGGTGATGGACACTTTGATATTTTTTAGTGCCAAACTTGCATTACAAAATACTCCAGACGCAATAGTCCAACGGATTAGTATCCGGAGATTTTGGTGACCATTGTACGCTGGAAATGAAGCGAGGAATCTCATTTTGTAACCATTCTTGGGTGGCGCATGCTGTGTCCTATTGGAATGTCCAAGGTCTGCGGCCAAAAATTTTTTGCGTGCCCAAGACTTTAAAACACCCTCCAGAATATTTTCGCGATAATATTCGGCATTTTTATACCCTCCACCATACTATGGAGGGTATATTAATTTTGTCATTCCGTTTGTAACTCATCGAAATACTAATGTCAGACCCAACAAATATAATATATATATATATATATATATATATATATATATATATATATATATATATATATATATATATATATATATATATATATATATATATATATATATATATATATATATATATATATTCTTGATCAGCGTAAAATTCTAAGACGATTTAGCCATATCCGTCTGTCTGTCTGTCTGTGTGTCTGTCTGTCTGTCCGTCTGTCTGTCCGTCTGTCTGTTGTAATCACGCTATCTTTCGAACAAATTGAGATAGAAGACTAAAATTTTGCACACATGTATTTTTTGCCAGTAGGCAGGTTAAGTTAGTAAATGGGCCATGTAGATCCAAGTTATCATATAGCCCCCATATAACGGTACCTCTCGATATTTGATGATTTTAGCGACATTATTCACCGGAATTGTTTCCAATTTGGCATTTGAAGTTCGTAATTGATACTACAACCTAAGACAGAAAATTATCTGTACAGGTCCACGTCTTCGTATAGCCCCCATATAACGGTACCCCCCGATATTCGGTATTTTGATGATTTTAACGACATTATTTACCGGAATCGTTTCAAATTTGGTATTTGAAGTTCGAAATGGATGCTACATCCTAAGTCAAAAAATGAGCCATGTAGGTCTACGTCTTCATATAGCCCCGATATAACGGTACCCCCCATATTCGGTATTTTGATGATTTTAGCGACATTATTTAACGGAATCGTTCCAAATTTGGTATTTGATACTTCGTAATAGATACTGCAGCATAAAACAGAAAAAGGGCCATGTAGGTCCACGTCTTCGTATAGCCCCCATATACCATACCCCCCGATATTCGGTATTTTGATGATTTCAGCTACATTATAAACAGATTTTTCTTCAGGTTTCGCATTTAAATATTGCAATAACTTATGCAAAAGTTGCCTATGCAGGTCTACGCCGTCGTATAGGCATTCGGTAATTTTAAGATTTTAACAGAATTTTAAACCGATTTTATTTATTTTTTTTTTTTTGTACCAAATGGTGGAGGGTATTAAAAGTTCGGCCCGGCCGAACTTACAGCTTTTTTACTTGTTTCTGATGCCACGGTCGATTAATACGAGCAGAGAGCAATTCTTAGTACCAGAAAGGTACGATTTTTTAAAATCGAATTTCACAGAAAATTGTTACTTCTCAGTGAATGATAAATATGTTCTCTTACACAATTCAAATTCTATATTTAGCAATTTTTAGTAGATGTTTTAAAAAAATTCAATGTAGAGTGAAAACATTATTTTTAGTTCTTTTTGAAAGCTTTTTAACATTAACAATATTAATATCTAACTCCACGTTAAATATTAACATTTCAGGATAAAGTACAGGTCCATAAAATTTTGTCCTAAGAACATCAAGTCCTTTTGCATTTTGTGAAATATCCCAAGACACGGAACAAGTTCTTTAAAATATTCCAAATTAAACAACCGATTTTCAAGTTTTAATGTAAAGACGGGACCAAATCTGGCAAAAATGTTCGACGAATATAATTGTATATAATATAAATAGCATTGCGTATATACGTTTGTATTTAATTCCACTTACCACTCATTCGTAAATCCATTGCTGTGTCCATTGGACTTTTCCGTCTCAGGAAATTTCGGTCGATATATTAGTGGTTTCACATTTGGATTATCCACTTCATCCAAGAAAACCACATCGTGGACCGGTGTTATTCGATGATCGGTGGCGGTAAAATGTAAGTCGCGAAAAGGTCCATTCAAAATACAACGTAATGTGGGCGTTGTGGGTTCCGAAGGTATCTGGAAAATAGGAAAAAATATTATTTTTAAATTCTGAACATGTGATGTAAACATACACATATAAAAATTAACCCATTATGGGACACGGAATACTCCATGTGAATGACATAATGAGTTTTTCAAAATTATGTCCCCAAATGGAATGGTGGCTAACAAACTCAAGAAGAACATAAAATTCTAACAAAATAAAACATTTTTTTCGACAGAAATTTTATGTTGGAAATTTTTTTTTTCAGAAATGATTTTTTCTATTTTAAATAGACAAGTAAAAACTATGTTTACTACGGTTAGATAAAGGCAAGTTTTTTAAAGACCATGAGCCAAGATCGATGGGCGATGGGTCAGTAGTCAGATGGGCTAAACTGTTTAAAATCCCGAATATTAGCTCTGGAACAGGGTGGCCATTCAATGCTGTAAATTTAAGCCCTTCGTGAGGGTACTTAGAATTTGGTCACCGGTTAATGCTGCGATATTCATGCGTTTTCTTTCAAGTGTAAAGGTGTGAAATACGTATGAGGACCAGACTCTAATTCCTAATCTAAACACAACAGCATAAATAAATTTCACATTTTTAGATGTCACACTCAAATAGATGTTTCTTGAAATAGGTTGGTAGATTCCGAGTCAATCGAAAACAAATTCATCAATTCTCACCTTGGTCTTTACCTTATGTTTATGCAGTGAAGACGATGACGAAGAAAACATTGGTAATTTCATTGATTTAATGAGCCAATGTGTGAAAATAAAAAAGCACTAGCCGGCAATAACAAACGAAAATTGGCGGGAATATTCCAAAAGGTTCAATTAAAATGGAATTTATACTTTGCTTTTACGATTTCTTTCGATTAATTTCACATAAAATCAAAAACATAATCTCCTCTCCCTTTCTCTCTCATACATGCACTTTTGATTTTAATTCAGGAGGAGAGATGTAAACAAAACTTATTACAATAACACTAGAGAATTGAAAAAAATAAATAGATATTCTCTCTTTTTCTCATAAATTCTCTCCCTATCTCGCTCTCTCTGTTATGAGAAAAAAAAAATTAAAGCACACGCGAAAAAGAACGTTGAACTTTTGCCAAAAACAAATGAAAACAAAAACCATGCGAAAACGGAAGTAAATTATGAGGATGCAACCGAGAGAAACGACCCGACAAATAGGACAATCGATATTCATGGACGAGGTAAACACGAACTACACGAACCGTAACTGACCGTTCCACACCACCACCTGTTGCAATAAAACAATTGTATCACGAACACACACACACGCACGTTGGGTGAATTACACCGGCACTGCCGAACACGAGGCAAGCAGCTTTTAGTTGTTTTTTAAGATCAATAAATTTCATTGAATTTTGCTTGATGACCATAGGGACTTTATGAACTTTTCATTTCTCCAGTTAGAAATTCCAAACTACCAACATTGGGATTTGGCCTTCTAATCATACAACACTTCCCCCTTACGATTTGTTATCACTTGTTATTATTTTTTATTGCCCAATATTTGACTTTATTGGCATGAAATTTACTTTTTCTTGCTCTTAGGTTGTCGTTTGACGGTTACTTGCCACTTTGAAATGATCTCACAAATATACTGGCTTCCACACGGCAAACAACAAAAACACACAAAACCGTACACACTTGAGTAAACGATAAGAATGACGATGTGAATGAAGATAGCACAAAAGAAACAAATTTTTTCTTAGGCAGTTGCCTACTTCTTTTTCAACTTCTTGTTACTATTATTATGTTTAACACTTCCCGGTCGCAATAGATTTGTGCTTTTATTTCTCAACTTCATATTTTTCCACTTTTTCACATTATTACATTTGTTTAAAAACTCTAAATATACTATTTCTTCTTTACTTCAGATGATTTCTTTGTGGTGTGGTGGTCAATGTTGTTAAAGTTGCGGCTTGAAAACTACTGGCATCTGTTTTGTTTTCATTCGTCTGAGACTCATTACTCACTCACCTGGCTCCATTTGTTTGGGGGAGAGAAAGAGAGTATGCTGTCAATGCTCATCTGTTTGTTGGGCACTGGGCGAGAGAGAGAAAAAGATTAAAAGAGCCCCACATGGGGAGATAAACAAAATAATAACGTGTTTGCTGTTATTCACCACTCAATTATGATCGTACATAAATAGTATAAAATATATGATAATTAAGCAGCTATAGGGATGAATATATATCAACCCAATTGGCAAACGATCGTTATTGGACGTTTGATGGGAATTTAATTAATAAAGGCTATTAATAAGGGATTATAGGTATTTATGGGCCATTTTTACACTTAATCTTTATCATTGAAGTACTCTATCATGATTAACTTAAAAGTAAACATATGAAACATTATGACAAAAATCTTCAAATTTTTAGAATTTTTTGCTCGAAATTTGTTCGTTTACAAAAATAACAGCAGATTTCAAAGAAGAGACATGTTTTCACTATACTATTTTTCCCCATGATATGTGCATTAACACGACAAATCGCCGTGATTTCAACATAGCATAAGACTCGACGATGCACTGTAATGAAAAGTTAACAGAAGGTAGCGGTAGTTACCATGTTGGTGGCCGTCATGGTAGGAGATATGTCAAAAATATATTAAAAAAGCAAATGTTAAATATTTCCTTCTATGATGTCATTCAGAGCCGGTTAGATACGTGTTTTTCAACTTTTCATTTCATTTATCAGTTTCAAATTTGAATTCCAAAAATGTTTTAACAGGTCATGGTGGCAGTTTTATATTTTAATCATGGTAAAATTAAGAGGATAACGTCATTTCCAATAAGCATACCCATCTCTGCATTTTCTGTAATTTTCCTTGTCACATTTCACTACATAAAAACAGGTTCTCATCTCTGATTTGTGTATGTACAATGGATTTATAAATAAAAATTTTGACAATGAGATGTTGTCAAATGAATAATTTTTGGAAAAAAATGTAAACGTATGATTACATGACTTTACCTCATTGATTCTACCATGATTTCAATTGACATGTTTGTCGTATAAAATCATTAAAAAAGAAAACCTTAATAAAATATTTTTTTATTTATTACCTATTAACTTTTTGGCAGCACTGGTTTTAACATTTCACACACGTTTAGTGTTTGGTTTCACTGTCACACTTATTTAGTTTGGTGTGCAATTTATCCATGGATCATCTTACAAACGAATAACGCATGCAAAGAATAACTATTGTTTAAAAAAGAAAAATTGTGTTTAGCGAGTTTTGGGGTAATCCCGCGTGTCTAAAGTAATCGTATTATTTGCAGATATCGCCAACGATATGTATGTGGTACTAAAACACAACTCTAATTGATGACAACTTGTAGTGTGTAAACCTCATTTAAGAACTTTAATGACAACTATGATGTTTTACATCTACCGGCTCATCTGTATGCCTAAGCAATGTTCTATATTTATTCGCTTGCACAGATTTTCCGCCGTTTTTTTTTTTTAAATTTAAAGCCAATTAAAAGCTATTCTCATAGTATAAATCACCCTCTTTATTTCAACCACTATTTGCATCTGGCAACTCTTTGCCATCCACTATGGCAACAAATACCAAATACATACAACTCTGTGTTTGTCTACTTTTTCATATTGGCAATGCTGTAAACAAAAAATGCCGTATATTTTTTTATTGACAACGATTGAGATTGATTGTTGTGGACTAATTTAATAAGAAAGTAATTGAAATTAAACAATAAAACGAAGAGAGAATAGAAAAATTAATAACTACAGTTATTTTGTGTGTTTCAGATAACAAGTTAAACAACAAATTTAGCAAACGGAAGCAGCAAATTCCATAGAAAACTGAAGCTGAAGAAAATACTAGAAAAGTATTGTGTGTGAGGGGTGAGCTAAGCGAGCGCTAAGTAAACGTAAAAACAACACATACAAAAAAGTTCCGGCAAAAATGTCACATACCATTTTGTTGGTGCAACCCGGCGTGCGTCCAGAAACCCGGACATACAGTGATTATGACAGTGTCAATGATTGCATGGAGGGAGTCTGTCGCATCTACGAGGAACACCTGAAGCGCATCAATCCCAATACACCCACCATCACATACGATATCAGTCAACTGTTCGATTTCTTAGATCAATTGGCTGACATCAGTTGCCTCGTGTATCAAAAATCCACCAATACATATGCACCCTACAACAAGGAGTGGATAAAGGAGAAAATATATGTGCTACTGAGACAGGCTGCCGGCAGTACAAACTGATAGGGGAATTAAATTATGAACATATTACCAGCAATCGTAGACACGGGAAATGATGGCATGCAGCGCGGCCTGAGCCTACCGTCAGTAGTTTCACTAGGCGCTGCAAGTCCTTTTTTAGAACAACCATTGAATCATCGTCAATGATCATCGTATTCAGTTGTTTTTTACTGAATAAATGTATTAGGAATATTTAATTTTTTTAATTATTTTATTTTCTTTTTCCTTTTTTTATTTCTAAATATGTATTTATATTTGAATTTCCTCATTAAAGTCAAGATTTTGTTTACTTTTTCTTGTATATTAGATCGACCATGATTTTCAAAACAAATTACTCAAATAAAATACATGTTAAATCATTTTTCTCATAATAAGAATAATTAGTAACAACTGTAAAATGGATAATAGATACCGTATTTTGTATACATTTCTTCTACAATTATCCACAAATGAATTACTCCATAGTATAATACATACTGTAAAATGACTAAAATATATATTAACAAAACAAAAGAAAAACAGAAGCCAATGACTGCCCATGTATTACAGTTAATCATTTCGTTTTCAAGTGTATTGAAGTTTAATTTCAACATTTTCTCTTCTCTTAAAATCTGTCAATTTATCATGCATCTTTTATTTGTTCCTGATTCACTCAAGAATAAAATAATATAAATAAAAAAAGAAAACAAAACTAAAATCATTAGTTTTAAGGAATCCGATAATTTTGTAAGTGTATTAAATGATAAAAAAACAAAATAAATTAAACTAATAACAAAAATCCATTAGTCCATGGAATATTAATTTTGGAATCAAGTTTAAAACTAAGTGATTAAGGTTGAGTGTTGTTTCCGCCGCAGATAAGTATTTTTATTCTTTGCTCACCCATAGCCACTGTTTTTGCTAAATAAGTTCCCGATAGTTTATTTTTCTTCACAGCCTCACCATTTAGGAGTCATGTTCTTTACCCTCGATATATATGTTTTAGTTTAGACTTTGTTAGAGAGGTGTAGTAATATGTATCTAGAAATGCAAGTAAAGATAGATTTCTTTGGAAGACAAAAAGATTACGATTTTAGAAGATTATTGACAGCAAAGATTCTTTCAAGTTGTATTTATAAGGTGTATACATTATGTTTATGGAAACCATAAAGTCATTATGACAATTGGTTGTGATATGAACAGATTGTTTTGATTTTTGTTTGTAGCTTATTAGCCGCTGTTATTAATGTTGCGCTTATACGTATGCCTTAAAATCTCATCCTGAGGAAAATAAAAGTTTATTATCTGTCCTGCGAGATATCAAAATAAACATCCCAAAAAGAACCAGCCTGCAGCCGTCAAGGTGCTTTAAATTGACGAGGAATTGTTGCGGGTTAAACCCAAATTCATTAAAACTTTGTTCGCAGTGGCTTCATAAACCCATATGCGTTACTTATCAGGAACCTCTATGGTTCCTTGTGCATTCACTGAAAAATGTGAACAAATCATACCTGCAAAAACATCAATAGACACAAATGTAATGATCGGGCTGGATTCTCACCAGTTCCTGCATAACATGTGGTACTCCCATGTCTCAGGGTTACTGTCGTACCCTCATTAAATGGTACAATAAACCTATTGTACAGTCTGAAATGCCTATGATCAAACGCGATACTGTGATTTCTTTATATTTGGCTGAAAAACCACAAGGGGCTATCATTAGAGCACTCCAGCATTTAAATGTGAAAAAATCTTTTGTGTCTCGTACCTCCGCTCGTATTAATCGACCGTGGCATCAAAATAAATGCCGAATTTTATCGCGAAAATATTCTGGAGGGTGTATTAAAGCCTTGGGCACGCAAACATTTTTGCCCCAGACCTTGGACATTCCAACAGGACTCAGCACCATTGCACTCAGCACGCGCCACCCAAGAATGGTTACAAAATAAGGTTCCTCGCTTTATTTTCCAGCGCACAATGGTCACCAAAATCCCCGGATACCAATCCGTTGGACTATTGTGTCTGGAGCATTTTGGAAAGCAACGCTGGCACTAAAAAATACCAAAGTGTCGATCACCTCAAGTAAGCGCTTCGCCGGGAATGGGTCAAAATACTGCAGAGCCACATTCGGACAGCGTGTGACGGTTTCATTGGCCGTTTGAAGGCCATAACTCGTCTCAAAGGTGACCAATTCGGACAAATCTAAACTTATTCTAAAATTTGATGCTATTTCCGTCATTTTTTGCTTTCATTCAATAAAATGTAGAAGTTATGGCTTTTGACTTTGTTACACTTTTTTATCTAACCCTGTATACACTTTATGGGGTCTACGACAAATATTTAGGATGTTACAAGCGGAATGACAAAGAAACAACAAGACCAATTTGATAACTAGCTTAATAGTTAAGATTTTTGACCAAAATAATCATTATATTGTTATAAGTAATATTGCTGAAGAGATTTTGTCCCTAACATGTGAGGATTCCCAGTAATCTTAAACCGAGATTTTCAAAAAATGTGGAGAAGGAGGGAACTAGCCCCCACTATTAGGGAATTTTCGCGATGAAAACATTCGAAACGCATATTTTTAGCTCTTCTTTCATTACATGGTTTTCCTGTAATTATTTTTTGTATTTCACAGTGTAATTGAGCAACATCTTTTTTATTTAAAAATAAGAAAATGCAGCCACGATCGTTTAAACGCTTAAAATCGATCTTTACCGTTGTACGAGCCAAAATGTTACCCGATATTCCTAGGGCCAATTTGCAATGAAAACACAATATTCCAAAACACAATCAATTCTGCTAACAATTCTAAACTATTTTCCACAATTTAAGTATTCTTCATGTTGGAGGGTTTTAACCCGTGCAAACTCATTGCCGTTTCTATTTTATTTCAAACATAGATCATTCTCTATTTTTAATACTAAAAAATTTCCATGGAATTAATCACGCAATTTATTGTTTTGTCTGTTCTGTTTTCTGTTAAAATGTTATTTTAATAAAATAATTGTGCTGTTACAACAACATACAATTATATTACAGCTAAGTATAAATTACGACTTATGAGTGTATGAATGTGTGTTCCACGAAGACCAGCTAATTTTAAACTTCTTGATGCTTAAAGTTAAATAGCTACTTACGAAATAAATTAAATTTTCTATGGATCATAAAGCCCTCTACCCTATTATTTAGAGCCAATGAAAAAGTACTAAATACAAAAGATTATTTGTATTTACATTGCAACCAGATTTGAGTGTGTCAATATTTGTTATAAGTTTTTGCATCCGTTCGTTTGACCACTTATAGCAGCTGTGCCGACAAAATCACAATTTTCATTTTTTTTTTTTGTTTTTGAAGAGACGAACAAAAAAAAATATTTTTTGAGATATCTTCAATAGAGTTATAAGTAAAGGGAAAAGGCGGGAATTTATGTCCTAAGTACTATGAACCCATATGGATGCATGAAATCATAACCATTATACCCATTGTTGTCAAAAATCTTAATGGAATTTATGCATCTTTATGCGGCATCTTTATTGAAAAACATCTATTGAAAAAAATCTCAAAATCTTTTTTTGACATTTTAGATATTTTCTCAGATTTCCCTAATTCTATGTCTTTCTTAGTAATTGCACCAAGTACTGATTTATTAATAAATATTCATAATAACATACTCGAAACCGTTTTTAAACAAATCTTTTCTCACTGTTGATGAATGCGCCGCCATCGATGAATCAACTATCCATAATTGGCTAATTCGTATATTTCACACAAAACAATTGGAAGTTATCTAAGACTTAAAAATTAAAAAAAAAACAACAAATCACCTCAAAGTTTAGTTGATATCTCCTTGTATGTGACGTTGATCCGGTCAAGATCATTCGACATGTGTGAGTAGAGTTTTTGTAAATGTGTTGATTTTCATTTAAAAGTATGCCATACAAATATAATAAAATGAGACTTTTATTGGTTGAGATGTATAATAAAAATATGAGATTTCGTTAATCTTGATCTCGAGAAAATTACTTTTTTAAAGATAAATTGAAAATAAAATGCAATTACAAATTAAAATTTATGTTAGTATTTTGGGACACTACCATGTGATAAAAAGTATACTAAGTTTGTCATTGCATTTGCAATGACTATCGCCTTTCAGGCCTCAACTCGAAAAAAGTTGGGGGAAAATTTACCAAAAAAAAGGAAATGTTTTCAGTTTTTTGTTTGGAATATTGAAGCAAATATTTTTTCATACACAGTGGAAATGTAGATTTATTTTCTTTGACGAGCTATAGTCGAATTTGGTGAAGACAAATTTTGTCTGTTACGTTTTCCTTTTAAAATAATGCTTTATAGGATGATAAACTCACACAAAGTACGGCTTTAACCCTAAAATGTGTTTCCAGGGGTATAGGCTAGACTTTGATGTGTTCTGGAACCTATAGTAGAATTTTATGACAAATAATTTCTCTGAATATTTTGACTTTATACGATCCCGTCTAAAAGGAACTTTGAACCATGTTTTAAAAAGGCCAAAAAAGAATATTCCTCGTGTTTTTATCTGCAATATTGCCGATGACACTATATACGCACAATGTGAGGATTACTAGAAACCTTAATCCGAAAATTGTCACAAGTAGGTGCTCTACGTCTCACAGTAATATTGAAAATTGTGACACTTGACGTGGGGGAGTATCCGGAACCAAAGGGCCGATCTGACCCGTCATCACACCAGATTATGTGTTAGTTGGGATGTGTAAGATTGGAAGAGAATTGGATGCTTATTTCGATAAGGCGAGTTTTGACCGTATCAAATGATACATACCCCTGTAGGCATATGACTGAGGCAATACTTGTTATAAGGCGGGCTAACCATGCAATAACCTGCGGTAACGCTCTGTAGATCTGAAACCATTTTGACTGGAATAGACTTTTTTTCCCTCAAGAAGTTGGAATATAAAATTGGACATTGTCAATAATGTTCCGAATATTAAGATTCGTTATCAAACGTTCGATTGTTAGGACTAGAACTAGTGTATTTATTTCCAATTTCAGGTTTGGATGTTTTCAACCGCGGAGCCACGATACCATGGTAAATTTCGTGGCAAGTGACCCATATAAACGCCCTCTGTCGTGCTAATGGAAATAAAATAAAAAATTTAATGTTTAGGTTTCTGTTAGTTTTATCTCAAAAATCAGAATTAATGTAAAGGTTAGATGTGCCACTTTTGTGCGCTAGTAATCGGAAAGAAGTCGGAGAGTGACTGAGTTTTAGATATATTCGGGGTTGAATGAAACTTTTAGAGTTTTCACACAAAAATTATGGTCCAATTCACCCGCTAAATATTTTCCGATGACCATTCAAAATGGAGAGGGTTCTTCCCAGGCCTACGCCCTAACTCGCTAAATATTTTCCGATGACCATCCAAAATAGTAGGGCTCTGCCCAGTCCTAAACTCTTACTGGGGACAAAATTAGGCGTCGATTGATCTATAACCCGACCTATAGCGTGATTACAACTAAACATGGACAGACGGACGGACAAACATAGCTAGCACGACTTAGCTTGGCGAGATAGGATGATCGGAATATAACATTGTGGGTCTCGGTCCAATATTTCGAGGTGTAGCAAACTTCTTGGCCCAGTCATAGATCATAATGATTTGTGGAATTTTATGAAATTATACTTAAAAAAATTCAATCATATTATTACATATTAATTTGAGATATTAGTCTGTGCCAGAACTGCAAGAATGTCGAAGAAAATTGAAAAACTAGTAGAATTTTGCATGTTCTGGAACAGAGCAATAGTAAATCAATTTATGCAAAAAACGAGTAGAAAACATATAACTGTATTCAAAATTAAATTGAAAGGTTCCGCAACATTTTCTGCAGGCCCACAAGTTAACTGCTAACACATAAAACAGATCGAATGGAATGAAAATGAAATTGTGGCTAAAATGCAACATTTAAGGTGGTTTAAAATTAAATGCGGAAAACAGGTTTTTAATGCACAACACGTCAATCATTTAATTTATGCCAAATAAACAGCTTTGATGGAACTAATTCGGAATTATTTTATAACGAAAATTCCAATAAAATGTATTTTTGAAATATTTCAACAGATGTTTGTAGAATTTGCGATGCAAAAAAAAATACCTGAAATAAAGTAGAATACCAGCAGAAAACTGTAAGTTCCAAATGGAAAAAGACAGTGGAATGGAGATTGAAGAAATATTAGAATATATTGAACATTTCACTGAATAGTGGTGTTTTATAAACACAACACCATCCTGACCTCGATTGAAGTATTTTCAACTGTTTTATAATCTGCAAAAATTTTCTAGTTTTGCAATTTTTCTTGCTATCATAGAGGTTACCGCAGTAAAATTTTTACGTTCTTGCATATTCTGGAACAGAGTATTTGTGACCACAGTAGAAATATTTTTAATCAAATATATTTTAATTATTGCAACAGCCCTACCAAGACAAACGAGATAGTTTTTGTCTTTCTGCTCCGTAAAATGCCAAAGATACAGGTGTAGACCACTTCTACAAACTATCGCTTTTGGTAAGAATCCACTACAAACAATTGCAGTAACTATAATTTACTAATTAAGAACAAAACCGAATGTAATTAAATTAGGCTGTAGCTGTAATGAGTGGAAAAACACATTTTTTTCTGAACTCAAATCGACCTAATAACATTGAATTCAAAACAACGATGAACAACGCCTTGGCAGAAACGAATCATTGTGAACGATATCAGACAGGTTAATGAATAATTTACTTTGTAATTTGTATTTTTGTTTTTGTTTGTGTTTGTTTTTTATTTAGGTTGCATTTTATTTTCGTACAACTGACAACATTTTTGTGTTTTTATTCTTATTAAAAATTAATTTATTACAAAATTTTAATAGCACAGTTATTAAAAAAAAAGACTAAATACAAAATAATATTGCCATTGAAGCTGTTTAATTTGCGACAATAACAACATGAAGTGTAGTACCTCAGTTATGTATCCTTTGCCGGTTTGTTTCGGTCTCCATTTCATATTCAATTTCGACTTTAGGCTTTTTAAGACGTCTTTTCGTTGTGGCAGCTTTAGATGTACCATTTGTTTTGCTAGCCTTGGCGGCAGATGATGCCGTCGCTTTGGTAGGAGATTTGGCAGGAGCACGAACAAAAGCGCCGGCTGGTGTATCCTGATAAAAGTATTGATAAAGTTTGTTTATTTTTATAAGTTAATTTAAGTTTTTTTTATAATTATCATTCGGACATAAAAACACTCAATGCAAAACAATTTAATTATGTTATGTTTACGCTATGGACAAGATGAAAACTTGTTGCAAAAAGGAAACCGAAATCCATTGACCATGACATTCATAATGACAATGAATAAACACTAACACGTTTTTTTTTTTTTTCTTTTTCTTTTTGAGAGCAAAAAAACAAAAGCAAAATACTGTAGAGTAACACACACTGGATATTCTTGTACTTCTTATCTTTAATTGAACCGGATTTCCACTATCTCATTAATAAAATTTGTGAATTTATATTATATTTATCTTGTACTTAATTTCGTTGTGGAAGTTGGGGCTTCTATTCCATATTTTTATTTCCATATAAAAATAACTAAACCCTCAAAGCCCACTTATTCGCGGTCGTTTTCCACTTCGAATCTGGAAAAACTCTATTTAAATCGACAGAATAAAAACGAGACAACGATTATTTCGCTTATTCACAAGACCATATCAAACGCGCCAGACATAATGTTAAATTGCTGCTGAATGAAATTCTTTGCAGGTCCCATCCGAGCACTCACAAAAAAGTCAAAATAAATAAATGTGAAAAACCAAAACAAAACAACAGCAACAATACACAGATTGTTGTTAACAAATACTGAACGTAGTAGCGGCGTCAGTTAAGAGCAATAGCATTGCTATTGTTGTCGGAGGAGAGATAATAACAGCAGTATTGTGACACAACAGGCATGACAAGTTGTAGCAGCAGCAGAAGCAGCAGAAGAGGAACACAGCTGCTAGAGCTGGCTGGCGGTGGTAACTTGCATACAAATCTCAAATAAACGGCATTCATTTCTGAATACTGATATGAAAAGATAATGTTTTTGCTCTTGACTCTTTTTGGAAAAACTCCCTCAATGTTTAGTTAGTATGTGTATGACAATAGGGAATAAACAATTATGTGTAATTGATATAGAAATGATTAAATAAACTGTGCAAAAAAACTATTCTTAACAGCAAACTTTATGAAAATGGTTGTCGTTAGCCATCATAGATTGAGGAAGGTAATATTTCAGAAGAAAAGTAGCAACAGTGTTTAGTTAGATAAGTCGAATATTGTTTGCCCTCCACGTTGAGACGAAATAAAAAAGTTTTACAAATCAAGGAAAACTTGAAAGACCATTTCAATTTTTTTCAATTAAAAGTGTAAAGAATAAACATAATAAAAACTGTTGTGAGTGTCCCTGTATGAGAAATATAATTAATCTTAAAACCATATTACATATTCATCCAAATGGTCCAAATGATCCTTAACTTGGTTCGAAAATGTGGAAAGATTTAGATTTTTCGTTAAAGAGAAGAATCTTAAATTTCTAGTCGACTGCATCCTAGCCAACAGGGTTAAAAAAGACTTCAAGACTTTCGTTGAAGAACATGGCTAATAACTTTCTGAATGAGGTTTGAAGATATCAATTTCTATCCAAATCGGTCGAAAAATATAACACCTCTTGAACAGATAAAATGCATCATATGCATCATAGTTTAAATGATCTTAATCTGTTCTGGGGATTGAAACATAGTATTTATAACAACTTGAACCTGATATTAATCATTTAAGAGGGAATGCAATTCTCAACATTTACAATTCTCAACTATTCTACGTTTTCTATTTTTTTAATTGAATGGAACTAAACATTTGTTTTCTTTTCGGCATTGTGAGGCAGATTGTTGGAGCGACACGAAACCCCTCTTCTGAATCTAAATTTTAATTAAAAAAAAAACTTGTCATGTTCCCCCTTGATAAAATATTTGAAAATTATGTCCCTATTATCTACAATTCAAAGCATTACAACTTATTGTCGCTTTACAATTTACCATACTTGAATGAAGCGTAAAATAATAGAAAGTATGTCAATAAAACAATATTGTTTCAAGATGCTCTCTAATAAGACCTTCCAATGAAGCATATTATACATTAATAATGTGTTACCAAACAATATTCACTTCTATAGGAGATAACATGGATTAGGTTTTGTTATAGAGTTGCCTTTTAACTGTATCCGTTCTCTTGTTTCAAAAAAATTCATCATTGAGCAGCGGGATTTCGGACGTAATTTTCATCTATAGATAGTGTATAGTATCAAATACTTCGCATTGAATCAGAAACTAAAACGCCTACTCAACCATATCCCCGCGATTTTACCAGCTTTAACTTAAATCAATCATTCACTTAATTTCATTGTTCTGCATTGATGTCGATAACCCAATGACAAACATATACACATTCTTACCTCAATATCTGAACCCTCATCTTCATCGGATTCCTCAAAATCACTATCAACTTCGACTTCTTCCTTCTCACCAGAATCGCTAAGGGCATCTTCATCGTCACTATACCCATCTTCATCGCTGTCATCGACTTCTTCCTCCGAGTCAGCTTCCACAAATTCTTCATCTAATAAATCTTTTCTCAACTCTCTCGATTCCTCATCCATTTCATGTTCCAATTCTTGTTCCATCTCAAGATCTTCTTCCATATCTTCCTCCTCGTCATCTTCAACTTCTTCAGCCGCCAAAGCTTTGTTGAATGCAGCCTGTGAGAAATTGTATATATCCTTGTAGGTGCCACGTTTCAAACGTTCCATCAGTTCCTTTTCAATGTGATTTTCTATCTTGGCTGCTATCAAAGCCTTCTGTTCACGTCTGGTCTCACGACGTTCAATCTTCCTCGATAGTGGCACAATCAATTTCTGTCTTCTCAATTTCAATTTACGCATACGTATCAGATACTGTGTGATTTTTAAAAATCTTTGCTTATTTTTCGCAATCATATATTTGGGCCAAAATACCAAATTTTCATTGATCTGTTGTATGGCCTTTTCAAAGTTTCGTGACAGCTTAACACGTTCCCACAGTTTGTTGGGCATATGGGCTCTTTCAGCTGTTTTCATATAGAGATAGATTATACCCTTCTCTTCGCGAACTGTGGCGTATTGGGAATTGGCCAAAGGACAGGTACGACGGGTACACAAACCTGTTAAATTGTATTCATGGCGGCAGAATGTACGTGTATCGGTTCTGTTGGAATGAAGAAATGTCGAGAATTAACTATTTTTCCAATGTTACAAAAGAACAACAACACTTACTTGACTTTGTGGGAACAGAAGGATTTATTGATGATGCTCCAAACAACCTGCAAAATTAACCCGGTAAATTATAAGAAATGTTTGATATTTTAAAACAAATTGTAACTCACATCATCGTGCTGCATTTTGTTGTATTCTTATTTATAATTTCTATGAGAATTTGAATAAAAACAAACTAGCTATTTCGGCTAAAAAACACGTGCACTCTCCACAATTCTGAATTGTTGATTATTTCTCTTTCTATGGCATTTGACAGTTCATCGAAAAAGAGAGCGTTCAGAAATTAAATGATCGGTTGCAAAATAAAGTAGTAGAAGACTTTGTTTCATATCGATAACAATAACATTCCCTAAAGTACAATTCGAAAATTGTTATCGACTGAGTACGAAAAATCTTTGTATAGATTGTTGCTCTGTTCCAGAACCTACAAGAATCAACTAGTTTTGCAGGTTTTTTTCGATATTATATGGATAAATCGGTGCCGGAACAGACCAAAAATAACTTTGAGAACTACTAAGAATGTGTGTTGCATGGTAGAATTAAGAAGGCAAAGAAAGTCATAATATAATTGGTCTGTTCCAGAACTGCAAAAATGTGAAAGTTTTTACTACGATAGACGCTTTTTCCTTAATGATATCGGAGAAAATTGCAAAACCACTAGATTCTGGCAGGTTCTGGAGCAGAGCACATATCTTTTCAATATTTTCTAAATTATTAATTTGATAAATTATTAATTTGACAACATCTCATTGTCAAAATTTGTATTTCAGATATGGGAACCTGCAAAGATAATCTCATGCAATCATACGATTTTTGTTATTATTATTATTTGATGTCCACACATTGTCAAAATTAAATTTTGTAGATCCTCCTTAAATATTAGCGTAAAGATGAAAATCAATTTATTTTTTCTTTTCGACTAAATTTTTTGCCATTTTCACGCCTTTAAGAGGATATAAAAGTCCAGAAAGAATATAATCTGGAACAGAAGACTAAAATATTAGCCTCATAAGTCATGTAAATTTTGATTATGAATGTTTGAATTGTTTTAATGTATCATTTTGCAGCATCTAGAACAAGTATGAAGACCGACAAAATCAAGCCTTATTTTCCTATAATACTGGTAAAAGATTGACATGCTGAATTTGTTCTTAATTTTATTACAGAAAATTGTCAGTGAAAGATGTCGTTTTATACAAAATCAATATAGCAGGTATTGTGAAGATTTTGCTAACATTTTTCATTATTTTTGTAAAATATGCCACTCGTCACACGTAAATATTTCCGATATGAATAAAAATGTTGTTTGAAATATAAGGTGGTAGAGTACTTCAGAAAAGGGTTGCTATATTCGATCTGGCAATTTGTTTGCTATGGTATAATTATAAGAATTTAGCAGAAATACCTAGCTGATTGGATAATTCTTTTATGCTTACAACCATGGTACAATAAAAAGCTATAGTAGAGCTACCAGCTGATTACAATTTTTTCTAACTGTGCCCAACTTCTTCCAATTTTGTGTATGTATTTATTGTTTTGAACGCCAAAAACAAAATATTTTCAAAATCAATGATTGGAAGAAACGTACATCGCAAGGTGCAGGTTAGAAGTAATAACCATTTTTGCCATGGAATTGAAAGCTTAAATAGTTTGGTTCATATTTTTTAAAGAAAATTCAGATATTTCATTCATCTTTCACGCTTTTTGAAGAAAAATATTAAATTAATGAAAACAACTTTTTGCGTATAATTCTGACAGGAAGCGGGCACAGCCTCAGGGCTGTAATTTTATAGTTTTACAAAGCTGTTCTACATCTTTATTGTACCATACTTACAATGTAGAAAGAAGTATCGATATGTCCAGCAAAAATAGAATAAGCTATTTTCTTTTAAAACTAATCTGGTTAGCAAAGTGCGATTTGAAATGTCTGAAAAATAACGAAAAATTAGACTGTCAGCGCTTCCTATAGAAAATTAGCGAATATATTTGAAAGTAACTGTCAAATTCATTATTTATTTAAACCGAGAGAATTACATAATCCATGCAAATCTATACAAAACTGGAATTCTTGTTATATAAACATTATTTATTAATTTTTTCTTTGTATATTTATTAACTTTTTATTTAAAAATGGATTTGGTGCATCACTGACAAACCCCTACAAACCTGACAGTTAACACATGTCTTTCATTTTTAATTTTATTGTTTTATTGCCCATCGAAAAGCGATTAAAGTCATATGTGTATTCTCAAGAAGATAATCAGTCGGTTTTTTACATTATAGAAACACGCGTTTCCAAGAATTTGTTACCTGGCTTCGTATATTCAAAATACCTCAACGAAAATGCTACCAAAATATGCAACACTGCAGACAGGTACGAAATACATAAACCATGACATATTTCAGATAAATGTCATTCGCTTACTAATTGTCATTCAGCGTGCTTCTTGACAAGCGCTGAGGCGGCATTTGTGTAGTTTATTTAATCATCTTCCTCTCAAAATTTTATAAAAAATTAATACATTCAAATAATTTGTGAAATATAAATTGAAAATATTTAATATTAGTGTAACAAAAATCCGTGTATAATGTATAATAATGTTATACTATCACTGGCCATGAGCATATTACCAGTGCTGGCCATTGGTTTTGTGGCCATTTTGGTGATTTATAAAATTTATATTAAAATACGGTGAGTAGAGGAGTGAATATGTTTGGATACCAATTAAAAGTATTTCAAATGACATTGCTAATATACGCGCGCCATTTCTTGTTTGGCCAAATCTAAGAACAAAACACATTGTACTTTACTCTGAGGCATTTTAACATTTGCTTGTGTGTTTTGTTTCTCTATTTTTAGTTCACGCTTCAGCATCATCGTCAACTGTTGGTTTTGTAATCACAACACAAAGGTACCCTATTTGGAGGCCAATAGCTGGGTATGTCCATCCTGTGAGCAATATAATGGCTTCGACAAGGATGGGGACTATAACCGGGAAATTTATGAACAACTAGATTGCAGTGGTATCTCGGAGAAGCGATTTAATGTCAGCCAATCATCGGCATATCCCCCCAAACCGGCGACAAATGGCTTTTGCGATGAGTGTAATGAAGCACAACGCCTTAAGGTGGAGAAATTGGCACAGTTTGAGCCAAAAAATGAATCCCATTTTGATGAGGAATTAAAAGTTTATCAGTGAGTATCCTTGTCCGAAATTCTTATGTAAATTTATTACATGTACAACATCTGTTTACTTAAATGCTCATTTTTGTCTACCTGTATACCACCTCAGTACCTTTTAAGCAGGTTGTTGTTGTTATTATGATACAGCTGTTCCCATTGGATGAGATGTGTAAAGAATCAGCAAAACAGAATGTATTAAGAGTAAAACAAAAGGCTTTGTTAAGATGTCATAAAGGATCAAATGTAGAAAAAATGGAAGAAAACAGATGGTCAGAAAAACTATTTGTTATGGCAATTTTGGATTATTTGTGAAAAATCCTTTTTTAAGCCAGGCATTGTATTATCTGGGAATGTGGGAAATGCGCAAATAGGATGGACACCTTTTTTGAGAGTAATGTAATTCCAAACGAAACTTTTTAATACACTTATCAATTTTTAAACATTTTTTTTCACAGCCTACTATTAAAGTAATTAAGAAAAGCTACATATTGGAGTCCCTCCATTGCTTTGTTTTTCCAGTGCAAACCAGTAACACATAAAGACCTGATTTATCATTAAACGTTTAAAAAGTTTTACAATCCTAGAAATGTAATCTAATTCACAAGATGCATCTTGTATTTACATTGAAATTCAATATTGATTCAATATTTGTATCAATGAAAACGTTTAATGATAAGATAATGTTACTTTTTCTTATTATTTTTTCTTAATAAGATACAACCAGAACAGCCTTCGTATGTTAAAGTATATTAAAATAATTGATAAATATCAGTGTGTGTATAAGATAATTAATTTTTTCCCCTTCACTGTCTTCATTTTTTACAGGGCTCAATTAGAAAAACAGTATGGCCTTTGTTCTACATGTGATCGTCATTTGAATAAGGTCCTGCGCGAGAAAAAGAAAATGGTATTGGGTTCGAAATTTTTGGACTTTATAATTAAAGGAGCCGAAACCTTGAAACAGCCACATCTAACGAAAATCGAACATGCCATACAACAGACACGAAAGCAAAAACTACGCACCTGCATTATTGTTTTAACATTATTTAATATTTGTTGTCTTTTCAGTTCGATGCCTAGCAGTACGTTGAAAAGGGAACAAATCACAAACATTTTGGGTGAATCTGTGGGACAACCCATATTTTTGTTAGCCTCACATTTCATTGCCTTTACCAAGGTGTTGGCCACATATTGGGATGCTATAAAGCAATTAAATATTATCATGAAAATTTCCCTATTTTCGAAAACAATTTTTATGATGTTAATGTATTCGATGGGCTTGAAAGTAAATCAGTTAAATTTTTCAACATTATTTGTGGGTGCTTATCCTTTTGCTTTGTTGGGTCTTTGTTTTGTGCATAATATTGTAGATAGTTTTCGTTTAACCAGATATACAGCATTGTTGGTTATTTGGAGCATTTTTGCTGGTGGCTTAGCGGACCAGGAATTGTCTCTGTCGCCGCAGGTTTTAATGGTGAGTCAACGCAGTAAAATTAAAAAAAAAAAAAATATTTCAACTGACTTTTACTTTTCTTTCTAGTTTCTGGCTTCTATGGTTACTTTTGTAATGGCTGTTGGCTCAAAACCTGAACCTTCGCCCAAGCTGCATGACAATACGGCAAATAGTTTCCACAAAATTTATTCAGAGGATTATTTAAGTGATGATGAGACCATGAGCATGTTAAGTCAACAATTAAATGGCAGCTGTGTATCTATGCGTAGTGTTAAATCTAATAAATCTTCACCCATTAAGCCTATCAACAGTACCTCACCTCGTTTGGCCAAGTCACCCTTAACCTCATCGGCATTTTCATTAAATCAATTGCCAAGGAGACAAATTTCCCCAAATTCCAGTTTTAGAAGTTATGCTGGAGAAGAAAATCAAACGTTAAGACCAGTCTTTGCAACACCTATGCCAATGCCACAAACACGTCAAGGTCTATTTGCTTCAGATTTACAGTTGAACAACAGACCCACACATCATGGATCTACTTTTGGTCTAAATACTTCAATGACCAGTGCCAGTGTTTTTAATAATTCCTTTGTGGAGCCCCGGGAGCAATCTCGTTTAGTCAATCAAACTCAGGACAATGACGCTTCTTTTTTCACAGCTGGCAATACAACTGCCGTTTTCAACGGAGACAACACATTTGCCCAGCCATCACAACAACGTATAACCTCAGGCATATTCTCACCGTTTTCGGCCTCCACTAGCGCGGTCTATCAACAATCATCCAATCCTAATCCACCAGCAAGACCCAACAGACTGTTGTCGCCAACTAGATTTAGCACCACAAATTTGTCTCACAACAATTCCGCTAATGCCTCATGGCTTGCTGGTGGTTATTTTAATCAAAGACAATCAATGTCAGAAATTCCAAGAAATGGACTGTTATTGCAATCAGTTACTAACCCTTTGACCCCCATGGAAGAGGGTCTTTCAAGGGCATCATCACATTCATCGGGATTTGAGTCACAACATGGAGGCGCTGGAAATCCACTGTCGAGGGAAAATTCTCTGTGTCCAGATGTTAATGATTATCACCAAAGAACCCTAACTATGGATAATATAAATGGTTTTCAACCAATTGATTCACCTAGTCTGGGAGCGTTTTCGCCAAGACCTTCAGTGTTTTCAAATCCTTCTCTCAATAATATCAATGCCTCTCATATGAACAGTGATGTTTGGCGGCAGTCAGCTTTTAGTCGACGACCAATTAACTCCGCCACATCCGTATTTTCATCCCGCACCAACACAGACTCTTTTAACCTGCGTAAAATCAACGAGGAACTGCCATCCATTAAGAGGGGCGAATTGTTTCAACAATGGAAAGAGGGTCAGACCATATCGTAACAATTACGATACTCTCTTTTCACCTGCCTTCCTGTCGCCCTCTCAAAGTGTTCACATAACTGTGCACAAATAATTATTTAAGTTCTTTTGGTTCTAAGGTTTGTACAGAAACAAAAAAAGTTGTAATTTTTATATTTTGACTAAGAAAATTAGGAAAAAATTGTATTCTTCTTTTAGTCATTAACTACTCAGTAATTGTTTTAGTTTTTTTTTATTTACTCAAACTGAACTTTATTTTTTTAGTTGAATACTTTATTTACTATTTGTTAATGTTATTATTGATGCAACTAAATAGGACATACTAGGAAATTAGATTTAAACACAAATTTTATATTAATTAACACAAACACTCACTGCCGTTGTTAAAAAGACTAATTATTAATATTTTATGAAAAATGATTATACCTATATAGAAAAAAATAAAGAAACAGAACAATTTAAACTATTTTAAGTATTAGCTGTATTTTTGCATTAATAAAAAATTGAAAAAAAAATTAAAAATTATGTGATAAATTTTTAATTTTGGGTCACTTGCAATGCCAGTCGCCACCAAATGATGGCAATTTATACAGTATTACCAAAATAGATCACGAAATACCAGCCATAACCAACAAAAAATAATTTTTCCGTAAGCAGAAATTGACCTAATTACAAAACATATTCAATGAAAATAAGGCTATAGGCTCAATTAATCCTTCCCGTTGTCAATGCTCTATATATCACTAACATGAGATGATAACGATTGAGGGATAAACACACAAAATACCGAAACCTAATAGCCATTCCAAAATATAATCTCCTTTTATATGCCTCTGTATTAAATGGCTAATGTTATCACAGATTTTCGATAACGTTATAGACCGGAAAGTTCTCAAAAATCCGTGGTTCAACCAAATTAACTTCCTATGTAAAAATATGCTCATGTTTCTGCAATGTTGAAAAATAACATTTATTAAAAAAATAACAATAATATTTTAAACAAATTTTAATTCTAAACAATTTCGTTGTCTTTTTTGCCAATATTTAATTTGTACCCGAATTATACAAAAATATTTACTTATTGCCAAATTACTCTTGCAGCTGATGCTGTGATTCCTTTAATAGGTTCTCCCGACTTTCTTGGGGATTTATTAAAACCTTAATCAAATGTTCCACCGTTGGACGCTCGGCAGTACAATACACTTTCAGTCCTTTGTTCTCCAAGGCACGGCGGGTGCTAGGTCCAATTGCTACCAAACGATATTTATCCATTGGTACACCCTTTGCCTTAAAATACTCACAGGCACAATTAACACCCGATGGAGAAAAGAAAGCCAAAAATTCAATATTGTCTGCCTGTAAGGCAGCTTCCATTTTTTCACCCAAATCAGGACTACATTTAGTTTCATACACTTCACATGCATCTATGCGAAATCCTGCATCGCGCAGCATGACACTCAATGTGTCTTGGGCCAAATTACTGCAGGGCAGCAGGAAGGGAGCCTCCTTGTCACCATCAAAGGCCTCGATTATAAATTGTCCCAAGGCACGGGCATTTCCGGTTTGTTTACCATGTGTAAACAGTTGATGCAAGTGATCGTGGGCCATATTGTGTGTCACCTCACCAACAGCATAATTACGCAACATTTTCCAACCGCCTGGCATTTCCTGTTTATCCAAGGCCTTGATGACAGCCTCCACACAACGGGGACTGGTAAAGATGATGCCCTCATAGTCATCGGGATGTTGCAGCTTTGCGTGAAGTTTTTCAAGATTTTTAAAGCCAAAACTTAAGGTGGGCACAAATATCGGATGGAAAAAATGTCGCTGTAGCTCGGCAGCATATACTTCGGTGCTTTCCGATTCTGATTTGAATATAATGACAGTACGTTGACGACTCATTCTAAAATACTACCACGGCACAACACAACGGAGAAGGCGGAAAGAACTAAACAAGCAGTGTAACGTTGTTAACGTTACTTACACTTTGGTGTGGGATGATCGACACCGTTGATGAGATGTCACAGCTTCCTCTCTGCTAACTTTTCCTTCTTGTTTGTTCGTTTTGTCTGTTTCTTTTTGATACGATTTCCTAAAATTGATTAATAGTTTATTTCAAATTAGCAATAGCACTATATGATGTGTTTTTTTGGCTACTGCCGTGGACGTTGTTAGCGAATTGCTTGCACTGATCAAACATGTAATGCATTCGAACAGATGTTTTGCTGTTGTCGTCGGTGGCTTTGACCGTGTATTATTTTATTACCTTTAGTCAGCAGTCGTTTGTTTTGTTGGCAATGTTTATTTTTGGAGCATTTACTATGCGATTATGCAGTAGTTGTTTTTTCATTGGGCGCAGCTGCGGGCAATCATTGCAAGTGAAAAATAATGGCAAGCAAATTGACAAAAATTATTGAAAACAAACTTTACCGGTTTGTTTATGTGTACACAATTAAAACACCGACTCCTAGCAGCACACCATTTGTATATTCTTTTTATGCATTACAGATAAGCTACATGTTTTTGTAATGTCAGCTGATCAACTATGAACATATGGAGAGTGCTCCAAAATAAGCGTGCAATAAAAAGTGTAAACAACTAAAAATAGCCATGCCGAAACATTTACACACTACACCAAGCATGCGAAAAAAGATAAATCAATAAAATTTGGTTTAAGTCATATGTCAAATCATGTATAAAGGGAGAATTGCAGTTAACTTATTTGAAACATAATTGTGAGGATATCTTATGCTCATCCAGATTTAAAAATACCCAATAACAGCAACCAAGACTGGTACTCCTATATGAGTATTGTGTGCAAACGTGGACTAATATCATTTTTTTTTCAAAAGTTGAAATCCAATAAGAACCTAAAAAGCCAAGGTACGGCTGAATATCAGGGGCATGATGATTTTCTAGAAATTACTGAATAATGAAATTACAGTCGACTTACAGCAGAGGGTTTTTGTAAATAAATATGTTCACATTTTGTTTATATTTTCAACAATTTATATTATTTTATAAGAATGTATTTTTAAATCAGTTTATCAATTGAACTTATTTCGGTTCTTACCAACACTTAGTTTACTGTGAGACAGCAGAGCTGCATTTTTACGTACTGTGTTAATTATATGGGTACCTTTACACTATGTGACACAAAGAATGGAGACAAAAATTTGCAACTTTGTTAATTTCTAAAATGTGTCAAATTGCACAATCTTTCAATTCCATGACAAATCTGGTTAAAATTATTAAAGCGCGCCCAGCAATCTCCCAATCATTAAATTTAAACATATATTTTTTTTTTTAATACACACAAAATTGGCAGAAGACGGGCACACTTTGAAAAAATTGTAATCAGCATGGAGCTCTACCTTACCTTTTTATTGTACCATGGTTCTACCCATGGCACAATTACAGAAGGTAAAACAAAGCTTCCCCCTAAATACATTTTTTTGCTTCTGGTGCCCCTATTCTGTCATTACATATATACAGTTTGTATATGTGAGTGTATTGTTTTGAATAAAAATAAATAAAATAAGCAAAACCAATTGTTGCATACTTAGATGTATATTTGACACTATAGGCTCCTGTACATAGCTGCATTTTCCTAGCTCCTTGAAGTTGAGCAACCTTTCTTTTTGAAACATGATTCTACCTATCTTGTTGAGCCATGGAATGAGCCACTTTAAACATGATGGTACATAACCATGCTTGTGGCATATTTGGTGATATGCCATAAAGGGATATCAGAGCGGCATTCTAATCCTGCCTTCGTTTTCTCTTATAATTTGACATTAATATGCCATACCGTTATGCCAAGCTGCTTATGTATCATCAACTTTCGTTTTAGGGAAACAGTCTGTGAACATGGTAGAAGAATATAGGTAGACGCATCGAGGCAGCTGCTGGGACAAACCCATTTTGGAATTAAAAATGTTGAATGAAAAATTATTAAAATTTGTAAAAATTGTTGAAAAATGCATATCTTTACAACCCACGATTTGTGTCGTATAAGAAAACATATAAAAATCTACTTATATTTGAAAAGAAATTTAAAAATTTTTGACATATCATGCTCCCAAGCGTTGATGCATCTACCTGTATTTTTCTACCATGGTTTGTGAATAAGAAATATTCTACAGAACATTTCAAAAGAACTTTTCCCAATTCGCGAATGCAAAATCACTTCGTACAAATACAGGCTGTTAGTCCCAAAAATTGAAACACATTTTTTTTGGAAAGTTTATAAAATATATATCATTTTATTTTCATTTGATTATTATTACTTCCTTTTCATTTTATATTTACTAATTTTAATCATATGTCGTTGCTATTATTATAAAAATTATAACATTTTAAATATAAGCGAAATTAATTACTGCAGGCTAGGTTAAAAAATTGCTTATTTAATACGTTTTATGGTGTTTTATCTATTATTTCCTGTTTAAAACCGACTTTTATTAATAAAGGAAATAAATTGTATTAAGACGATCGTTCGCTAAACAGAAATATTCATTGTTAGCAATTTTCCTTTTTTATGAAGACAAGCGAAATTGGTAATATATATACCAATTAGTTTTTAACTACATATATAAATTCTGTATTTCTCTCATATTTGTAAAAATATTTCTTACTAAAAATCTACTGAAGAAAAAATAAAATACAATAATGATCATAGCTCGTTTGGTTTGTATTTAATTGTGGTTTAATCAGTAAAGTACGGAATGGCTAATAAAATACAGCGTTTTAGTGTTAGTCTATTATTTTATTTTTATTTGATCAGTAGTAGACGGATTAGTTTTTTTTTTTTTATAGGAATACGCTTTGGGAGAAGCCGTCAAAAGAATTCGAAGAGAATCGGACTCTTATATCACATTTTCTAAGAGTTACAATTAGCCAAAATTTTGAATCTTTGTGGTGGAGGGGTGAGCCGATATCATCCATTTTCAGACTCAATTAGCACTAATAAAAATATTGGGATTTTACAATTTGCACAAAATGTGATGATCCTCTCTTGTTCAATTAGGTAAACTCAAACTCGATTTAAGTCTGATAATAATGTTTGGCCCTATTACCGTTGTCGTCGTTGTCGCAAAATGAAGTCAAAGCGACAATAAAAGGTTGTCGTTTTTTGTCGATAGCGATGAATGATTGCTGCTATCATTGTCGATACAACAGTCGACGTGAAGTCGTTTTTAGAAAATATCTATCGCCGAAAAAAACTGTGATGACATTTTATTTTTTAGTCGACGTTGATATTTTAACCATTTTGTATTTGATATTTGACCTTGAAAATAACAACAGCAAAACAATTTGGAAATATTGAAGTCTTTTCCGACACTGGTCTAATAAGATCCTAGCGCTAAAAACCTCAATGCTGTGGCCAATTGGAACAACTCTAGTTTAATAAAAACTCTTTTTAGAGGCAGTTATTTTTACCCTTATTCCGGGAAACTAATTTCCCGGATCCACTTACCCGATATAGGAAATATAGGTGTCGTTTAAAAACTTATACCTATACCTATCCAATATGTGGTCACATGATCACCGAAGGCCGGCTACATACTTACAATAACTGTTAAATTTCACGTAGTCGGTTGAACGTAACCAGAAGAGAATATCTCTTTACCCTGAAAAGGTATTAGCACAATTTTTTTAAGTTGTTGCCAAATTTTATTTTATTGTCGATGTCGCTTCTATGCCTTACCGTAATACCATTCTTGAATCATAGCGACGGCGAGAGCGACTTGCACATAACGTCGACGACGACTATATAAACGATTACCGTAATTGGGCAGATTACGATATACCTAGTTTTGACCAAATCAGATACTCCCTTAGGATTATCGTGCGCAACAAACAGGCGTCCTGAAACGGATTTGGTCCAAAGGGTCTTAGGGTCTAAAACCCGTCATTTTCATAAGGACCGGTATTAAATGATATATACCTTCTGTAGCCATATGGCTGGGGGTAAAAACGGTAACGTTTTTAAAGCATGGGCCGAAATGCTTGACTCACAGAAGAAATTGGTAGTGGAAGGCATTTTAGTTGGGCAAGGTTGGAAAGAACACTTTATCTACTTACACCCATTCGAGAAGTGTTGTGCCTTTACTCTCGAGGTCCTCTACTCCGTCCAATTCTATTTCCTGCAAAAGGGAATTATGGCAACAGACGAACAATTTATAGCTCTTTATCGAACACAAATTTATTTCAGAAAGATTTTCTGTTACTGTTATTTGTTTAATATTAGGAGTAACAAATTAGGCAAATTAATTTAAAGCTGAAATTGTAGGAAAATTAAAAAATCGGTCTAAAATGTATCCCAATAATTCACTAAATTCCTGTTTCTAGTGCCTATTGGCAAACTGGGCTGGCTACATTATCTGAAGTGATGTTATATTGGAGCCAATGTGAACAACATTTAAAATCTGAAAAGTCTGATTGGAGCCCTAGATTTGGTGAGCTCCCCCATTAATAATGCGAAGAATACTACGTACAGGCCGATGACTTAGCTTAGCGAATATTTTTGAGAAAGAATTCCTGTATCTGAGATTGCCACCCATAAACCATATTTTTAGTCAATCCGATCGATGTCTCAAGTTGGCAACGTAACATAAAACAAAGTAATCTCCCAAAACTGCAACTAATTGCAATAAACTAAAAAATAAAACAAAAAAACATTTATTGTTTAAATAAAAACTTTAATTTTTACTCATTAAAAATGTTTCTTTTTTTATATGTATATAATAATAAAGTTTTATTTGTTTTCTTGCTTTTTAGGTTTTTATATTATATAAAAAACTTAAAAAACAAAAAATGGAAATGCAAAACAAAGTTTCTTTTTAATATTTATTTTTAAAAAACAAAAAATAATAATGTTCAATATTTCTCTTTCTCTTTTTTCTCTTATAAGCGTTTAGTTTTGTTTGCGACATTTTTGAAGACATGTTTCTTTTATCTTTCTTTCTTTCTTTTCTTTAATTAATATATTTTTAAGCTTTTCTTCTTTTTCTTTACTAAACATTTGTGTTGCTAAATTACGGAATTTCGTTACATTACTTTATATGTTTTTGTATTTTGTTTTTATTAGATAAATGAATGGTCTTAAAGTTGTTGTTGTTAACGTTAAAGTTTAAATGTAGTTTTTCTTTTTAATTGAATGATTCTTTCTTGTTTTAGTATTCATGTTTCTTGGAGAATAATTATGCATAAATTTATAGATAATATTGAATTTTGTATTCATATATATATGGATCAACGCAAAAAGGAAAAAATATTATATATTTATTTATAATAAAAGGAATTATAATTATTATCTAACGAAATAATAATAATAAGAATAGTAAAGTAAACATGGTAGTGTTTTGTTGATTTGGAAAGAAAGGAGGGAGAGACCGACGAAAAGTTTTTGAAAAATTAAAAAAATGGCTTGCTAAAATGCTTTT